CAGAATTTCTTTAAGTAATTTGTGATATTTATAGTGTTTATATCTGCTTGTGTAGAAGCAAATTCATTGTAAACATTTATTTTCTTAATTCCTTAAGGGACCAGTTGGGTCAGAGTCTTTAAGAAGAGACAATTAGTTTGTGTTGTTAGTCACTAACAGTTGCTAGTGCAAATTGTAATCAGTTGATTATAGTGGATTAAGTCCTTGTGTATAAAGCGAAATCACTTTGACGGGTTGATTGGATTAACTTGATAGTTTTCAAGTGAACCAGGATATATCGTGTGTCTTTCTCTCTTGTTAAGTATCTTTGTGGTCTTTATTTGAGTTTCACAAAAAGCTTTCATTTTTTAAAACTCAATTCAAACCCCTATTTCTTGTGTTTTCTCACACCTTCACATTTAACAATTTAATCACTAAACTTATGAGCAATTTCATAAGTACATTTAACAATTTAATCCCTATATTTGACCACTTAATCTTAAATTAGTCCTTATCTTTACTTAAATTATATCAAATAAGTTGATACATATAAAAACAACAACGAGAAATAAATTATCGATTTAATCAGTGTATTTTAACCATGCACTCTCATACTCTCAAGTTACCTAAATTCTACTATCAAATAAGTCCCTATATGTATCATCGAATACCTAAAATAATTAATCTATTTAATCAATGTATTTGACCATTAGTTGCCATATATGTTCCTATTTTACCCAACTTATATCAAATTAGTCCATGATTGTATGAACATCACAAGAACCAAAATTAAAAATTAAAAATGTTTGTTGTTTTGAAAGTAATATATTTAGGTTCATAAATAGTTGAAAACATAAAAAGATGGGAAAATAAAATTAAAAATATTTGCAAAGAAGAATGAAGAAGGTGATTAGAGAATGAGACTAGCACTTAACAATAATGAAAGAGTTTGGTGAAGGAAAAAATGGTGGAGGAAAATTAAGTTATTACTTAAAAAAAATAATGAGTTGTCAATAATGTAACATTCAACATATTATGTATGTATTGTTAATATTTTTAAATCACATAGACTAGCGGAAGGACGTCACTGATAAATATTTGATATAGTCATAAATAATCTGAAACATTAATAAAGTCAATGATTTCTTTGGAAACAACTTATAGAGACAAAGACTAAATCAATGTTGAATTGATAGATTTATAATTTTTGTGATTTATATAAACCTTTTTTTTTTTTATGAATTATGAATATGAATAAGGAATAGTTTTGATTTGTAAAATTGTTGTAGAATTAATAAAATAATTAAAAGCATTTTATGAGAAGCATTTAAAGTTCAGCACATCAAAAAAATTTGATGTTGAGTAAAGAATAATGAGAAGCAAAATAAATGACATTTATCAACAAATAATTTTATGTGCAATAAGACATCAATATAGCTTGATAGAAGAAGACGAAGTAAAGACAATAAACATAATTACTTTTTTATTTAGTTAATTTGATTAAACAATCTACTCTGTTGTAAATAGCAACTATCTGATTCATTATATTTTCAAGAATTGTTACAAAAGATTACAGATGAGTTACAATAAAATAGTCACCTAAATTTCCATGAACAAACCCTATTTTTTACCCAAGTGTTAGAATCAATCTTGATAAAACAAGATGCAATCACTTTTTTAATTGATTCAAGATTCTTGTTCCTCACTTTTCACTCAAGTGATTCAATCACACATTGTCTGTAAGACAATTTTGCCGCACAAAGATTTGAAGAGAGGAGATAATTTTAGAGAGAAAAAAGAGAGAGAACAATTAGATTTTGAAAAAAAACAGAAGAATGTATTGAATTGAATGAAAATTGTATTTCTTTTTTTACAAATATAGGATACCTCACAATCTATAATATAAGAAAGAAAAATGTTCTGAAAAATAGATCTCTGTCTCTGCCCTATCATTTGCCACATCTCTGTTTCAGGGTTATTTCTGATCCATTTTCTATTTTTTTCAACTAACTGCATCATTTAGTTAGAATTCAACCATTAATTACATTATTTCACTCATAGCAACTCTTCCATAATTAGTTTTAAATTGAACAGTTACTTTCATCATTTCCATCACAAATTTTATATTTGTATTAAAATGATAAAAGAGACAATATTTTTTTTTCCCACTTTTGCTGACATTGTCTACTAACTCTCTCTTGTCACTTCAATCTTTACATATTTTCTCTCAATTTCCTCTCTACACTTATTATAAATTCTAATTTTTCTCTATACTTATTTTCTTATGCTGCTATAAAATTAGATTTACATATCTCATATGTCTTCACTTTTTCTTTGTAAGATTTCTTTCAAAGAACACATAACACTAACAAAAAGGTTATTTCAATTTTATTTTCTAATTTATCCATATTTCATATTTAATATTTAAAAGAGTATCAATTTTCTTCTTCTTCAAATATGTTATTCAGAATAAATCCATATTTTATTTCTCATTTTTTTCCACAGCTTTATCCATATGTCACAAATTTGATAAAATATGTTAAATATTCATAAATTCTTATTCTGATTGTTTTTTATAAATAATAAATCATAAATATTTTGTTTTATCTAATCCATAACAAAATTTATAATGTGTTTTCAAAATTACGTTGTATAGAAAAAAATAAGAAATAAAAATATTTAACAAAAAATAAAAGATGACACCAAACTCATTTAAGTATATATATATATGTATATATATATATATATAAATATATATATATATATATATATATATATATATATATATATATATATATATATATATATATATATATATATATATATATATATATATATAATTTAGAATAAAATTTGCAAATGTTGAAAAATAATAATAAGAACAAATTTGAGTTATTTATTCCTTTTTTTTTAATCAAGAGAACATTTTGAGAAGAAATTAATTTATTAAAGTATAACTAAAAAATAAGATAAAAAAATACAAAATTAATTTTAGAAATCAAATTTAAAATATAAAAATAAAAAATAGATTAAAAAATAAAAGAAATAAACACATAGTGTATTAGTTCACTTCATCAGTTACATTAGCTGACTCAATATCTACATAAAACACATAGTATATCAGTTCACCTTCATCATTTGCCACATCATCTAATGTGATCACACATATCTGCAGCCTTGCAGGAACGTGGGCTATACTTGTACTGCAAATTAGATAAAGGTTGTATGTGAAAGATCAAACAAATTACAAGTAACATCACACAATTGACGGTAATATTTATGCATCTTTTAGTATTTGTTTGTCATTTTCATAACACTTTTGCTACGACATCACTAATGATTCATATGTCTCATTTTCAGGCTTGGACCCTCTAACACTTCCCACGCACATCCGATTGGTCATATGTTTTATTCTACATTGAGAATATGCCATGTTCTTCTGCATTCACCCCGTTCAAAGAAAATTAGGCGATAGAGCCATATAAAGTGTATCTTCACCGTATGGTATTAGAGGATATACACTTCTATATGCATGTTGATCACCGTGAGACATGTCCTTTGAACTACATAGTCTTCTATTCTAGATGGTTGACTTGCGATTCACGTCTGATGTATCCTTACCTTTTTGAGCGTGTCATGCAGTAGCTTAGCTACATGCAGTTTATTCCTATAGACCCCTCAGAGTCTGCTCCTCCCGTTATGGCACAGAGAGATATAGGTGTCATGTTTGACGATTACCTTAATCATCGGGTACTAGATGAGAAACGAAGTATCATAACTCCTAACAATCAAAGTGTTGCACACAACTACATCTAGTGGTACTTTATGGTGTCACATCCTTATATGACACAAGATGCTCCAGGAGTTCCACCTAGGCCAGCTCATCAGAATATACTATAGGAGGAACATGCTAGGGCAAATCATGTTGTTGATATGTTGCCTATATGTCGGAGTATCATGGATATTGCACATGCTAATATAGGCAGAAGAGTATTTCCGAAAGGCTCTAAGGCGATGGACAATCTAGATGCCATCATAGAGGAGGCACAAGAGGCAATGCAGTTTAGGAGACAACATAGGAACAAGGGGGGCCCGATTCCGTCATATACAATAATATTTAAATTAATATTTGTATTAAGAACACTAAAATCGTTTGTATTTTATTTTGATTCCAGTGTCTACTCTAGATTTATTCATATATATATATATATATATATATATATATATATATATATATATATATATATATATATATATATATATATATGTTATTTTTATATTATTTGATTAATGTATGATTTAATTTATATAAAATTGAATATGATAATATATCTATAATGCGTCATCAATTAAATCAATACATCTTTATAACAAAGTAAAAAGTTACGATCTAGTGAAAATTCGGAGATGCATCTCCGATTTCTGTCTGGTATGAATTCAGAGATGCATCTTCAGATCGATTTATGTTAAAATGAAGGTGTTTCAACGAGAAATATATGAGCTGTGTATAAAGAGGATCTGAATATATTTTGGGAAACATATGGAGTGAGACTCACTTGAAGCGTGTTTTAGTGTGCTAAATGTGAGTTCGAAAATAGATTTTTAAAATCAAAGAAACATTCTTGAATTTTTTTATGGTATTTTTCCACAACTTAAAATAGGATAAACAATGAGAAAATAAAAAAATATACTGACATTCTATCAAATTAAACTGTAATTTTTAAATTAATAATATAATATGATTTAATTGATGTATTCTTATTGAACCACCATATAAAACTATTTTACGGGATATGCATAACCTTTAAACTCATAAACAATTCCCCGTTTTTCAATTTAAAAAAATAAATAAATTTAACAACAGGAGAAAAGAGAAATTCTGCATTTGTAATAAAACGGGACTAATATACCCACCATTTCCAATTTCACTATACAGTATACACCGTGATCTCCACACTGAGAGAGTCTTCACTTTCCTTTCTTCATTCTTTTTATTTCGTCTTCCCGCGCTCTACCCAAAAATGGGGGCAGAGCCACATCATTCCCGAAGCTTAATCAACAAAATCTACGCTCCAATCGCAAACGAATTCCCCTTTGCAACTCCTCTTCCTTCCCTCCGAACAAACGAACTTCAACTCGTATTCTTCTTTTTTCACTCTCTATCCCCAATTCCCCAATTTCCACTAACTTCCATTTTCACATTTCTAATTACACCTTATTACTAAATTGATGATAGGTGCGGTGCGTTTTACGAATGCTGCAAGGATTTTCGTCTTCCTTATTCTCATGGGATCACACTGAAAACCGTTTTCGTATCAATAGCGGAGTCTACGTCACGCATTTGTCCTTGAAGAGTCTACATTCACTCCTCAATCAGTTTATTCACGCTGCAACGTGTCTTCAACTCGTGGAGATTACTATCAGAAGGATTGAAACTGCTCTGCCGAGACCTCCTCCCACCTTGAAAGCGTTTGTTACTTCTGCTTCAGCGTGGCTTAAGGTTTTTTTGCAATTCCCTTTAAGATCTGTTTTCTATCAAAATTTTCTCTTTTATTGGTTCAAATTGAGTTGAGTTTCGGTGATGCAGCGGTTACGGAATATTGCATTGAAGGAGGAAGTGTCTACAAGCAATGCAGATGGCATATCCACTCCTACTTTGTTAGGATTCAAAAATTCTTTATCAAGGTTTTTTTTTCTCTTCCTTTTAAATCTAGCAGAGTTAGGATTTTATTTGTGTGTATTCTAGTGGGTTTCCATTTATTGTCTCCAAATGTAAAAATTGGGTGCATTTTCTTATGTGTTTTTTGTGTTGTTCTTTACTTATAATGCACTTTTTGTGGTTATAACAAACTATGAGGAAATCATTGGTAGATATGAATATTTAGGTTATTACCAACTCGAAAAGCATCTAAATATAAGAACCTAAGTTTTGTTTTTTTCCCCTTCAAATTATACTTGTCTCCAAAATTAATTTATTTCGGCAATTGCGAGTTTGTGACAGTATCTGATGATCATTTGTTGACTTTTAGTCTTTGCTCGGGAGCGGAGTTCCTATTGTTATTAGTTCATGAGGCCATCCCTGATGTATATTTCGAGTTTGGGGCATCTGTACCTGCAGCAGACTTGGCTGTTCATGTTCTTGACTATCTTCACAAGAAGCTTGAGGAAATGTGTCTTGTACAAGGTGGTGAGGTCGTGAATCTTTTTCGTGCAGCACATTATGGATTTTTACACATTTTTCTTGGTTCATGATGTTGAGTTTTTAAAACCTTATACTGATCACAGGAGGAAGCTTATCTTATGGTGCTTTACATGTATGTGGGAAGCTTGTTGCCATATATCGAGGGTCTTGATTCCTGGCTTTTTGACGGAATACTTGATGATCCTTCTGATGAGGTAATCATTAACGAGTCTCTCAATTGCTAGGGGATGAAGAAGTTATTTTGCAATGTTGTGTTAAAAAGTGTCATATAAATGCCCTTGTTATATTGTTTAACAAAAACATACTTTTTGTGTAAAAAAAAAAACATACTTTCATTTTTTTTTCATTTGGTGCAAAATGTTTTTGCTAAAGATTGTCTTTCTGACCTACTGCATTCTTCTAGTGGTTATGTTGGATTTGTATAGCTTGAAACTCACTTAAGGGAATCATTTGCATGGATATTTTTTAATGTAGATAGCCTAAAATAACTTTTAGGTCATATTGATACTGCAATTTCTTTTGTTTGCAGTTTATACCCATTCTGGTTAAGAGCATATTGGGTTTTAGTTAATCTTTACACAAAATGCATTTTAGCGAACAAACAACTTCCTGTAGCGTGTTCATTATAAAGTTTTTAAAGCATAAAATAAGCTAATCTAGATACACAATAAAATGTTGTATTTATCATGTCATCTATCTCTTCAGATGTTCTTTTTTGCTAATAAAGAAGTCTCAGTTGCCGAGGCTGAGTTCTGGGAGAAGAGTTATCTAATAAAAAAGCTACAACATGGTAAGTTAGATACCGAGTTGTCCTCTACAAATTATGCTGGTGATTCCATGTCAGCATCAAATGCGAAGAAAGAAACAGGCATGAGGGGTTCCATCTCTTTGTCTAGTACAATTAAAGGAATAGGGCAAAGCATTAGAGACTGTCCAGCCTGTCCTTTGTTTATTAAGGAATTAGCTAAGTCAATTGTTTCTGCTGGAAAATCTTTGCAGCTGATGCGCCATGTCTCGAATTCCTTAGCAGTATATAGCAAAGGAAGTAGTTGTAAGTTTGGAAGTACCAAATCATCAAACAATGGTTTCTCTCCTTCTCATAGAGTGGCCGGGCTAACGCTGTCAGAAATTTTTTCCGTATCACTAGCTGGACTTATTGGCCATGGTGACCATGTTTGTAAATTCTTTTGGCAAGATGATTGGCACGAAGCTGTTTCTGTTTCTTCTTTTGTATCTTATTTAAATTTAAATGCGGAAAAATCAGACAATGAAAACTTAACTGCTCCACCATACTCAGAGAAGATTTGGTATAAGTTTTTGATTGATACATTATTTCAAAAAGGATCAGCTGATTTGAAGCCAAAATATGAAGACATAAATAATGGCAATGGAGATTCAGCCGGGGATAAAGTTGTTAAAGACGAATTGTTTCTCTTGAGATCATGCTTAATAAATCCAGTTGTTACCGTTTGTCACAAAACAATTGGAAACAATGAGGATGCCTTGAAAACATTGAATTTATCTCGAAAATTCTGCTTGCCTTCTTTAAATGATGAGGGTTTAAGAAAGGCAATATTTGGTGGAGAAAGTACACCGTTTTCTGATAGTGAAGGAACAGACTATACTTTTGGTTTTCAGTATGATGAATCCAAATACACTCACTCACATGATAATAGAAGGCTGTTAGAAAAGCTGTTTCCTTTTCCCACCATATTGCCTTCAGTTCAGGTATTTCTACTTAGTAACCTGAACAGCTTTTGATGAAGTATGCAGTACATTAGTGTGATAAACAAGTATTTAATTGAAACAGGATGATCTTCCTGTGTCAGAGCTCCTGCCTTTCCAGAGAAACAGCACTCTTCCTTCAAGAGTTCTTCACTGGGTGCAAAATGTTGACCTTAGAACAACTCCACCACCTCTGGTTATTATGCAGTACTGTTTAACTGCCTACATTCAGAAACAGGTGAATAAAGATAAACCGTCTGACAATTCCAGGATTAACACTATGATAATATTATATTTGCTTTATTTTGAATAGAACAGGTAGATTATATTGGAGTGAATATGTTGTTAAAATTGATGAATGAATGGAGGTTGATGGATGAGCTTGCAGTGTTGCGAGCTATATACTTGTTAGGTTCAGGTATTTGCATATTATATTTTGTTGTGTTCTATATGGATGCAGTTGATACACTCTGAGTCACAGTCACACAAAACAACATAAAACAAACACTAGTCACATAAACTTTCCCCTATACTACTCCGTAACAATTTATAAGCAAAAAAGTAATATTTCACACTTATTAAGAAAGTTTAAATTCTTGTGTTTTATGGGAAAGATGTAAAAACAGTTTTGATTGGTTGTTGTTTATGGAAAAAATGAGAGAGAAACCAAATTAAATTAATTTGCATTTAGTTTTACTTTGGAAAAAATGCTTTTTTTAAGAAAAAGATGCTTAAATGAAATAAAGTTGATGTTTTTTGCTTATAATTTGTTACAAGAAAAATGAGTGTTTTTTTGCTTATAAACCGTTACGGAGGGAGTATATTGTTTGATGTGCTATCCCTCGACCATTATTTTTGTTTTGATGCATGATCAGGTTTTAAATCGAATATGTAATAATTACCTTTGTGTTATTCAGTTTTGTTTTCTTGCAAATCAAACGAATCCATAGTATATTGTGCATCATATTTTTTATAATAACATTATGTTGGCCAAGAGACCTATCATATTGGTATCTGTGTTCAGTTTCTTACTTTCTTGCAAATCAAATGGACCCATAATATATTGTACTTCAAAATATTGTGCAACTTTAGGTTGGGTAGGAGGCATATTGGTATACTATCAATATCTTATGTATTGATATTTTTTCTTGTGCAGGTGATTTGCTACAACACTTTTCAACTGTAATTTTTGATAAGTTGGATAGGCGTGAAACATGGGATGATGATTTTGAATTAAACACAATATTACAGGTAGGGTTTCTTGATTTTGCTTGATTGTGTACTTTGGTATACTTTTAGCTGTTATTAGAATTTGGGTAATATTTTTTTTTTGGATAAGCGTGAAACATGGGATGATGGTTTTTAATAATTTTTTTTTTTTGAATCAAACTCTATTGTTTCTTTCTCTTAATATATTTTTTTATATAGAACCCTATAACTTCTATATGGAATCAAGCAGAGCCATCCTCCATGACTTGGATTGTCACTTTTCTGTTGTCTGATGATAGGATCCCAATTTTGTAACATGGGCCCAAAGAGCGATGTAGGAGTGTGGGATGGTATAGGGAAGGCCAAGGTTAGTAGGTTGTCTAGCTTACAGTTTGTTATAAGTAGTGAGAAGGGAATAAAGGGGATTCATGTTAGCTTTCTGGTAGAAAAAGCGTAAAGGGCAGAGAAATCTTTCTCCGAGGAGCCATAGAATCTGGGTCAGTTAGAGTTTCTCTCAATCCTGAATAACATCAATACAGTTTCCTTTTTCAACTTTAATTGTTCTCCGTTCTATCATCCGAGATCTATAAAATCTTATAATCGACTCTATGATTCTGTTTTATCAGTCTTGCACAAATTTTCGCCACTCTTTTTTTCTCAAATTGTTTGTCATGGTTTTTTTTTGCTTATCGTTTCCACAATCTATCTCAAAAACCTTAGAAGTTTTAATCCTTGTTTGAAATTTGTTTGAAAGGAAGTTTGCATCAATGATTATTCCAATGAAGTCTCCTCTTTCATGGTCATACAGTGTCCCAACTAGCTCCTCAAGTTGATGATCTTTCCAACTATCTTGTTGGGTTTTGTTTCCAAAAAGGTCATCTCTTTGACGTCTTCATCCTCCCTGAGTTGCCTTGCCTACAATGTTTTGTGGAGTACATATTATATATCTCTTAGGACTAGTAATTGGTTTCCATATTTCTTTTACACTTCACGATTTGTTTCCTTAGTTAATTAGGATTACGATTTATGAGCCTAGAATTAGCATAAATAAGTTTAGTGCTTATTATTTTATATATATTAAAATAATGATTTATGAGTCTTCTATTAGAATAAATAAGGTTTAGACGTTTAGTGCTAAGTAATTTTGTTGAAGTTGATTTGTGTTGGAGTCCTACATTGCTTAGGTTCCCGGGTGGTTGGATGTATAAATATGTTTGGGCAACCTCATCCTTTGAGCTAGCTTTTGGAATGAGATCCAAACCTATTTAACATGATATCAGAGCCGGGTTAAGGCTGCAATGTGGTAGTTGGACCCAGACCCATGGTAGGTGTGAGGGTGTGTTGAAGTTATGTTTGGACAACTTGATCATTTGAGTTAGCTTTTGGGATGAGCTCCAAACCCATTTAACAAATTTATATAATAAAACAATAATCACAATTCTGAACTTTTTCTGTTTTTCTCTTTCCTCCTTCCTCATCAAAAACCTTATATGGTAAACATGTTAATTGTCTAATTATAGCTTTTACTTCCTCCAGTTTCTGTCATATGATTTTGAGTGGTCATACTTGGTTGTGTTGCTTTATTGAGCATGTTTATGGTTCTTTTATCTTAATAATTTTTCTTTAATGGTCCTAATATTTCTCTATTATAACTGCACACATGTTGCTGTCTACTAGTTTGGGATTTATTGGAGTCCAATAATATTTTGATTCAAAATTTGCCTTGAATTCAAACATTAAACCACACGGAACCATTTCCTTTTGTATTGGTTTGTTCTCCTAGAATTTCTTGTGGCAGCACTCTGGAGTTAAACAAGATAAATCAGTACAAATGAGTTATGTTTTATATTTGGTACATATTAAAAGTGAAACAGAACCCGCTGACAGAGTTGTCCACATTTAGTGTCCGACAATGTCTCGGATAGGATTATTTCCAAAAGAGGAACGTATGAGAAACCAAAAAAAGAAGAAACTGTACTGACCAGTACATAAAACAAATAGTGATGTGATGCATTTGATTTTACAAAAAATGGTAGAACCAAACAAACAAAACAGAACTGGCTGTCCTGTTTCGTTCTAACAATGTGACAAATGCTACCTATATAAAGCCCATTTGTTATTGATATTATTCAAGACATGTTAAATCAATGGAATTTTTGAGGGAGGCTGTGTCTCACAAACCACTATTAAATGTTTTGAAAATAGATTATGGAGATATTAATTGTGGTGACTACCTCCTATAATGGTTTGGCAAAGTGGTAGTGAATAAATGATTGTAATCATGTGCTATGTATGACTATTGTGTTGTATAAACTGAAAGAAACTGGCAATATGATAACTATGGACTCTGTTGTGTGCATGGGTTTATTAGAAACTAGCAATATTATCACTATGGACTCTGTTTTATGCATGGGTTTATTTCATAACTCCTTTGATTTTTAAAGCCATTTTCTATTCATAATCTATCTGTGCATATTAATTACAGGAATCAATCAGAAATTCTGCTGATTGTATGCTGTTAAGTGCTCCGGATTCATTGGTGGTGTCAATCACCAAAGATATTGCTGAGAGTAATGTCAATAACTTCGGGATTAACGGCCTTGATATGCTAAAATTCACATATAAGGTCATTCTTCCGTAAATTTATTATTCTTTCTGTCTAACTCTTCTTCATTAAGAATATTGGTTTCCATAGATAATTTTTTGCGCAAAAATTACTAAAAATTTGGAACTGGCAGGTACCTTGGCCTCTTGAACTCATTGCAAACGCAGAGGCAATTAAGAAGTACAACCAGGTATATGACTTGTTTGTACAATCCTCTATTTTTTTTCTTTCTATCAGATGATGATGTTTTTTCGTTCTCTCTGGTTGGTTCTATTTGCCTATGTTGATCTTCTCCTTTATATATATATATGTTCACATGTATATTAGGTTATGCGGTTTTTGCTGAAGGTCAAGCGTGCAAAGTTTGTTTTAGATAAAGTGCGGAGATGGATGTGGAAGGTGACTCTTTATATTACTCCCGATTTCTCTTCAGTAGAGCATGTCCTCCTTCAGCTACATTTTCCTTAATTCTTGATGCTTAGTCTGACGTTTGAAACTGCAATCACCCTTTGCAGGGTAGGGGGTCTACAACAAATAACAAAAAACGTCATTGGTTAGTGGAGCAGAAACTCCTTCATTTTGTGGATGCTTTTCACCAATATGTGATGGATCGGGTATGTACATTGCTTTAAGATAAGTACAAAAAGTAATTTCTCTAATAGAAGATCTACTAGCAAAGCACAGAACGCTGGGGTATGGTTAATCAGTATTGAAGTCATTATCCATCATAAATGCAAATAATATAGTAGGGAACAGCTATTACTAATACTAACCCTTTTTGCTAGATTTTGGAGGGAGAAGGGCAGAGTATAAATATAGCATTGGTCTACCAATAGAATGGCTAGTTTTTAGGGGAATCTTCACAGTAGTCATACACTCGTACTTATATGGTCCCGCATATTGGCAACGGAACCTAAGTGTTTTACCTGTCACTACAATTTTTATGCAGGTATATCACAGTGCATGGCGTGAACTATGTGAAGGTATGACTGTGGCCAAATCTCTGGATGAGGTCATTGAAGCCCATGAGGCTTACATTTTGTCGATTCAGCGGCAGTGCTTTGTGGTTCCTGATAAACTGGTGATTTGTGGTTTCTCATAATTTGGAATCTTTTGTTCTTGTATCGTGTTTTGACTGTTGTATTTATGACGGAGCAAAGCTTGAGTAGTTTCAAATTTCTTTATTGTGTTCAGGGGGCTTTGATTGCCAGCCGCGTTAATATCATTCTTGGTTTATCTTTAGACTTCTATACCATACAACAGACATTAAAAAGTGGCGGAGCTGTTTCTGCAATCAAGACAAAGTGTGAGATGGAAGTCGATCGAATAGAGAAACAGTTTGATGATTGCATTGCGTTCCTACTTAGGGTATTCTTTTTCAGAATTTATTCTAAATTTCTAATTATGCTGCTACTTTGTGACGCCAGCTCTACTTTATGGTCTGGATGAAAATAATGAATTTTCTTATGGAGATGCTGTGAAATTGAAGGGAAAATGATTAATAATCAATAGCAATCCCCGACTTGAGGAGTTGATAACACAATAATTAGGGGTAGAAAAAGTTTAAGATGAACACTGAGTGAAACCATTGAGAATATCTTATTTACCTAAATTGGCTATTTGAATAATTAGTTTTTAGGGTTTATGAGAAGTTTAGATCTGAATTGTCTACTTTAAAATACTTACATGATTGTGTAATGTTTATCTTGGCTTTTTTCAGGTTTTATCGTTCAAACTAAATGTAGGGCATTTCCCTCACTTGGCTGATTTAGTCACCAGAATTAACTACAACTATTTCTATATGTCTGCTAATGGGAATTAATGACCACTTCTGGCCCTGGAAGTATTACTTCAAGATTGGGGAAAGCCACTGGGTAAAACTGTTCGATTTAAGGTGTCTTGAGATTTATCTCAATATCAGAACAGTTCTATGCCTGCTTTGATATTGTGCAGCATTCTTAGAGAATGTCACACGCGTTTGGCCTTTGAGCTCACCGAAGAGCGAAAAAGATTGAAGGTTGTTTGTTGCCTGTGTCAGTAATTGCAGGACTGCATCTGTTGCAGGATGCATTAGTGCACAGCGTAAGTTGTATAGAGTATTGTCTATTTTTCTCATAGATACAAAATCCTATTCCTTGTATATGATTGTGAAAGCCTATGCTAATTTATTTCCTTCCTTTTTAACTTTTACACAATATTATCTGTGATTGGGCTTCATAATTTTTTAATGACAAATATTAGTAATATGTGTGCAATCAAATTTCCGATCTCCTTAGTAAGAGCTTGATTTTAGCTTCCCTTCAAAAGTAGTTAGAGCTTGATTTTGTGACTTCATGAATCGGAGTTCAAATCTCATATTAGGCAGCTGTGAAATTTTCCTTTTCTATTTATTTTATAATTTTTTTTTCTGGCAACTCATTGTTTATCTGGTACACCTACACTCCTAACAACGTGACACTAAATAATATACAATTTTAAAAAGTTGATAGAATCTTTTTATACTCATGAAAGTCTATGCTTACAAAGGAGAGGTGAGTGTGGTCGAGTAAGCTAGTCTTGTAGTACTTATAAACTTTGGTTTGTAGTTGAACTAGCTATGAATGTGTAGTGCTATTCACACAGATGACCCATAAGCCAGAAGATGCATTACAAACTGTCGATGCTTTTTACTCTTGATGGGCATAATGGTTGGCTGCATGTAAAACAAAACAGGTGGTCCTGCGTAGCATTCACGAGGGCATCCTCAAACATTGATTGAACAAAAACAACTCAATAGAGAAAATGTTGATCACAATTATACACGAGATTGAAGAGAGCAATGAAAAAAATTCCTAATATGTGTATGGCAACGGTGGAATAATTGTTGGCCATCACAATTATGCAAAACTGTAATTAAATCCTAAACTCTTAGACACATGTGAAAGGTAAGAAAAGGTGGTTCTACTAGTCTGTACCGTATTGTTAAGGTTATTCCCTGATGGCTTTGATACAGTAGGCAATCTCCTGAAAAAGTTGTTTTGAAAAGGGCTTCTCGAGAAAAGGGTATTCACTTTACTCTCCAAAGATTCCACTTTTCTCATCTCTTTTTCGCCTTTCCTTTCGTCCTTTTACTGTCCCTCGGGGTTCCCCAATACTCAAATCATTTTAAACAAGACTTTCAACTCCTTCCATTTTTAAGTAAAATTTTAAAATAACAAAATAAATATAAAAATTGAGAAAAGACACTTAAAAAAGGAAGGAGTGTAAGTTCTGTTTCTAAAGAGAGTATAAGTAAAGCATATACTCTCTCTCTTTATCTGCAACTATATATAAGACATCCTTTGTAAACAGAATTTCAGATTGAGAATGTCTCACACCAACAACATCTAATCAACTCACCAAGTGTCTTCCGTTTCTGCATTACATTCAATCTAACCCCAATCCAAACAACACTCTACTAAGAAATTCTTCTGGTTTACTATCTAGCAGGAATCACAATGTCATCATCGTCTTCATCAATGCCAATGTATCCCCAACAACAACAACAACCTCCTCCTTTTGATGAAGTCACACAACAATCCTACAATGGTGCATCACATCATGACTCCATTGGTCCTGTAATTGGAGTTCTTGTAGTGATAATTGTGTTGGGGATAATTGCTGTAATGATTGGAAGACTTTGCTCAGGAAGAAGAATCATGGGTCATGGGCAATATGACATTGAAAGCTGGGCAGAGAGGAAATGTTCTACTTGTATTGATGGAAGAATTAACCTTTCAATACCTACGAGGGTCACCGAATCCAACAACACCTCACTTCCTGCAACGCCCACCAATATTACTCATCAAGAAGAACAATCTTCTTCTCACAACTCACCACCTAACACTTGATTTAGTTTCTTTCCATGACGCGATAGTGTCAATGATGTGTCTGATGTCAGTAACGTTTGTAATGTTCAGCTCCTATGTTATTAGTTTTGAATTTTGTTGTATTTAGTTTTCTAGTTCAATTGAATCATCCTTATGATTATGATTAAAGTTAGTATATTTTGCTGCAGAGGATATTAGTAGTAGTACATTGCTATTGACAATTATTCTGATATAACTTTTGAGAATGTGATTGTTGCAGAATGCCAAAAGAAAGAAACAAAAGAAAATGAGAGTAATAAATTGGTAGTACTTGAAAGAGAGAAAAAATAAAGTATCTTGGAAGTTGGAACCTTGAAGTGTGCAAATACTGTTTGAGGAAAAAAGATGCGTGCTAAAGGAGGGAGGAGCCCACACCTCGTCTATTGTCTTGTGTTCTGTCTAACAATATCTGCTATACTCTCCAATCACAATAATGTTATGTAACAACTTGTCACTCATTCAGTGCTTACTTTTTGTTGCTATGTACTAGTATTAGATCTATAACTGTAGTAGAAGTTAATTACACTATTTAAGTTACTTAGAATGGGTTAATTAATTACACTAGCAGCTTTCTTTAGTTATATTCAAGTTCATTCATTTATAATCGACCGATACGGTGGACTAAGCTTTCGATATAGTGGGTTAAATATTGTCAAAAATTTGAGTGTATGAATGAGAAATATTTGAAATAACATATCATGTGTTTTATATAAGATGAGCAGTTAAAACCGTTTCTATGAGATTAAATGTCTTCTATGACTCGGATCCAATCCAATGGTGGAGGGTGACCTGAAGACTGGAATTATGTATCCACTATTAGAATGAAGTCTCAACTGTTTCGCAGGTAAGAATTTTAAACTATGGGTTCAAATTTAAATATAATACATACTATATTTAAATTTAGATTTATAGATTTAAATAGCCCGCAGAAATGAAACTATATTTGGTGTTTTCTCAAACTTGCAAGAACTTGTGCTAACGGTTTCTAGTAGTTTAGAGGATATATTAATCCATATAAAACATGAAAGAATTGATGCTTAAATTTTCAAATTATAGTGATTTTGAATTAATATTAGTATGATAGAGTTTGTTGCATATATAAATTCAATGAAAATCATGATGCACTTTTTTCTAACGAAATTGCATGTTGAATGCATATAGATTATAGGCGTTTGTATACAAGACAAATTATCTCACATAATTTAAAATTTATCACATTTTAGTTATGGTTAAATAAAAATTTGTAAAATATTTTATCACAATTAAACAGTAGTATGATATATATTTATTTTGTCAACATTGCACCGTTCTTAATATACTCATGACTTTACAAAATTTAAAATAATAATGTATGCAGTAGATAATTGGTATATATGGGTATTGTTGAATATAATTTATATTGTGAAGATTATTATGAATATATATAACTCTTTGATGTGGAGTATGGGTGTGTGTATATATATATATATATATATATATATATATATATATATATATATATATATATATATATATATATATATATATATATATATATATATATATATATATATATATATATATATATATATATATATATATATATATATATATATATATATATATATATATATATATATATATATATATATATATATATATATATATATATATATATATATATATATATATATATATATATATATATATATATATATATATATATATATATATATATATATATATATATATATATAAAACTTGTAACACTGAAGTTTTAATTGATATGACAGAAATAAAGAGAATTATAGTTGTTCTATAGTCATAGAGGTAGGCACCATTGGGCGAAGTGCATTAACAAAGATCAATCATGTTCATTATCTTTTACTTTCGTTTTTCTTTAATCTTCTATAATGGTTGCTGTTCTAAACTGGGCCAGAGGCTAGCCCACTGTTGGGCACGACCCAACCCAGCTCCGCGTCGGATAGGGCCTAATGCAAAGGCCCAATCCATCATCACTAGAGGACACGTTCCTCACGCGTTTTCCCCACAATCTTCACGTGCTCCCCATGCGAGGACACATCATCAGCCAACTACTCGCATCCGAGAGAACATGTTCTCCACCTTCTGAGGTTCACAGGGCAGTTGACCCAAGACGAAGACCACATGCTGGTATTTCATACGCCACGTAGATCCTAGCAGTTATCCGTATTGGACCTATTGATCCAACCTAATGCAGATAATCGTTGGCCCAACACTGGAGGAACATTATAAATACCCTCTTCCATAACAGAGTCAGGTATTCTAAACACACTAGCTTTCTATACTTGCTCACTCTCTCTTTTCTCACTTTGGCATCAGAATGTCTTGCAGGTACACCCCCTCATCTTCTCCACCACAGGGGATTTGGAGCTCACGACGTGTTGCTGGCTGCTAATCCCTTTTTTGATCCGGTAAGATCAGTGGCGCATCTGTGGAAATCTTTTGCTTCCCTGTATTTTGTTCCTCCAAAATTAAAGGACCAAAGCAAACCTTCAACTTCCGCTGATCATGGCTAGCCCACACATTGACGACAACGTCCACGGGTCTGCTTTCACCACCTTCACCAACGGCGACGACCGCGACTGTCCCTGTTGATCGCGACTTTCTATGTCTAATACAACCTAACTGCAAGTGCACAGTCTATCGCGTAGTAATAATAGATATCGATCCCACAGGGACTCATAATCAAACTAGTGTTCTCGGGAGTTACTATGTTTAGCTAGGTAGAATATGTTTAAGGGAATAAGATTGTCACTAAAAGGGAACCAAGAATACTATTTGGCTTATAATTGATTGAATCGATACGTAGTAATTGTGTTCTTCAGGGATTTGATAAGTTACTGGTGTATGAAGTAATTTTCAAAGTTTATTTAAGCAGAAAATGGAGATTTGAAGACTCTCGCCTCATGATGGT